ATACATACATACATACATACATACATACATACATACATACATACATACATACACACATATACCATGCGTGTGCTTGGTGAGGCCAGAAAAAGGAGTCAGATGCCCTGGACTAGAGTTACAGATGTTTGTGAGGTGCCATATGGTTGCTGGGAACCAAACCAGGTTCTTAACTGCTGAGCCATTTCTCCAGCCCCTTCTTTTTTTTAATATAATACTTAATTTTAATTTTACTTAAATTTAATACTTAAAATTAGAAATACTTAAAATTAGAAGATACCCATCCTTTGGCTTAAGTGGAGATGTAAACAATTCCAGATGAAAAATAATGGTTTCTCTCTCAGACCTAGTGACTCACACCTATAGATTGAGCACTTGAGATGCCAAGGCAGGGAGATCATTGGCAGCTCAAAGCCAACCTGGGCTAGTGGAGTTCCAAGCCAGTGTAGGCTAGATAGTTGAGAACCTCTACCCCAAACCAAACCAAACTAACAAACAGAAAACCAACAATTCCTGAAAAACAGCATTAGGACTAAGTTTCCCAGAATCCCTCTACCCCATTTATTGGTAGGTGTGCTGTGTGTTGTATCCCCACAAGTGAAACCCTGCCCGACCCAGCTGGAGGTGGAAGTGATAAAGACACATTTTCTTCCTAACTCTAGGCTGACTTTCAAACTGTGCCACATGTACTGGAATTGGCCTGGTACCATCCGAGTTCCAGCTCCTTGCAAGTATGCCCACAAGCTAGCTTTCCTGTCTGGACAGATTTTGCATCATGAACCAGCCATCCAGCTGTGTGAGAACCTGTTCTTCCTATAACTAGGAGCATGGACATTGGCTGCGAGGAGCAACTGGACTCAGGCTCACTCATTCTCACAGAATTATCAGAAATGGCAGTGGGGTTTTATGTTGGCATTTTCTCTTTCTCCATCTTTGTAGAATAGATTTCTGTTGTTCTTTTAACCCAGATATTATAGTAGAGTGTGGTGCTGCATGCCTGTTATTCCAATACTTGGGAAACTGAAGCAGAAGGACCTTTAGTTCAAGGCCAGCCTGGGCTACATGGTGAGTTCCAGGCTAGCCAAGTTTACAGAGTGAGACCCTGTCTCAAAAAACAAAAACAAGCCCCTGTCCCCGCAAAGCCCACAACAAAACCAAAGCCTGCTGTAAAGGAAGCAAGTTAAGTACCAGCTCCCAGCTGCCTTTATGGAGCAAAGCCATGTCGACAGTACTGCTTCTGTGCGGAACATAGGGTCAGGAACTTCCAGAGGCTGGGGAACAGGTCAGTGTTGAAGCATGTTCTTAGCATGTCAAACCCCCGAGTCCAGTTCTCAGCAACCCCCCTAGCAAATAAGTAAAGAAAGAAAACATAGCCCCCAAGGCAGCGTGAGCATCAGTTACCTGCAGGTAACTGTAGGTTGTGCCTACAGGACCTTCCCGTTTTTGTGCCAGAAGTGATACGAATGAAGTCACTGCAGACATCTTAAAGGAGAGAGTTACTTATTTGGGCAGCCAGGGAGGGCTATGGAAGGGCCTGTGCAGCACAGGGTGTCAGAGAAAGCAGCTGTGCATGTGTCAAAGACATGCAGTAAAAGCAGCATAAGGAACAGTTGGGCCCCTGAGCCCACTTCTCCCAGGGATGTGAGTTCGCCTAGTCCCTGGCTTCCTGAGAGTCCAGCTGAAGCTGCTCTTCTGGACCTTTCAGTTATTTACAGCCCTTGAAATTGCTTTTCTGAAGCCCTGACAGACGCATGCATGTGTGCACACACGCCTTTGCTCTTTGTGACTGATCCTGAGTAAATTTGCCTAGAACACGTGGGAAGAATTCAGGAGAGTTGGGAACATTATGGATGGAGTGCAGGTTTTTTCTGCAGAAGTCTGAAACTGAGATTATACAAAAGAGATTATTCAAAATCCAGTCTCAGGCTTTCCAAAGTTGGCTTGGGCAAGTGGGATGCTCTCTCACCCAAGTCTAGACAGGTAGAAAGTTGTTCTCAGGCCTGTGGGCTTCAGTGTTTTGGAGAGGCATCAGTTTTCTGTGTGTGTGTGTGGTTTTTTTTTTTCCTTCTGTTTCACAATCTTCCAAGTTTTTTCAGGCCTAAATGGATCATCCCTTGCTTTACTGGGTTCTAAAAGCTAATTTTACTTAATCTTTTCAAATTTATGTATATTTGTATTTTGTGTGATGGATGGACGGTAGGGGATTGAGCAGAAATACTCATTTTAAATGACAGTGTGTGTTAAGAGCTTCAGCATGAAACCACTGAAGAGCAACTGGGGCTGCGGTAGTCAGATCAGCACACTCGCAGAGCTGGCCCTGTCCTGGGCTTGAAAAAGATAAAGCCCTTAGTTTGTTGCAGCACTCAGAGGCTGAGGAGGGATGAGTATTGGGGTCCTCAAATGTACCCCTGTTGTTTGGAATCTATGACCAAGGTTAGGCTGAGATCTGAAATGTAAAAGCCATAGAATTAAACAGAACAGACTGAAAATGGGCCTTTAGCTGAACAAATTCCACGTTGTGGATTTCTTTGGAAGTATTTTGAGTTTGCTTTAGAAGTTGCTTTTCCTAGCACTTCTTTTCTCCTTAGGTAGAACATGCTTAACTTTAATTCCAGAATGTCTGTGCTCTCTATACCTGATGTTCTTGACTTGTTTTTCAGTTTCAGTGCCAAGCAGTTGGGCCATGTGGTATAAAATAAATACATTCTATGTCTGTAGTTGTGTCTGAAAGATTATGGTTTGTTTATTAAGTGCCTATAATGTGCTTTTCCTTCAAAGAGAAGCAAAAGTTAAAGTTATTCCTCTGGGAGACATAGGCAGTCAGGAACCTAAGTTTGTGTATGAGCCTGGTTTTCAGGCTTTTCTCTTTCTTTCTTTCTTTCTTTCTTTCTTTCTTTCTTTCTTTCTTTCTTTCTTTCTTTTCTTCCTTCCTTCCTTCCTTCCTTCCTTCCTTCTTTCTTTGTTCCTTCCTTCCTTTTTTCTTTCTTTCTCTCTCTTTTTCTCTCATTCCCTTTCTTTCTTGCTGTTCTTGTTTTTTTTTTAAATAGGGTTTCTTTGTGTAGCCCTGGATATCCTGGAATTTACTCTTTAGACCAGGCTGGTCTCGAACTCACATACCTACCTGCTTCTGCCTCCTGAGTGCTGGGATTAAAGAAGTATGCCATCACCTTAGCTTGTCAATCTTTTTCTTTCTTTATTTTTTAATAATTTATTTATTTTTATTTCATGTGCATTGATATTTTGCCTGAATGTATGTTTGTATGAAGGTGTCAGATCCTCAGAAACTGGAGTTACAGGCAGTTATGAGTTGTCATTATGGTACTGGGACTTGAACCAGGGTCCTCTGGAAGAGCAGCTGTTGACTGCTGAGCCATCTTTCCAGCCCCTTGTCAGTCTTTCTTAATAGATGCTGTTAGCTCAGGAGAGACCCAGTAAGCTTACTCTAAGGGTGGCCTCTCTACCACCAAAAAGATTTTTTTTAATTTATTACATTTATTTATCATATACATGTAGGGAGGCAGGGAGGTCAGAGGACAGCTTGCTGATGTTGGTTCTCTACTTCTATCACGTAAGTCCCAGAGACAGTTTGTCAGGTTTGGTGGTAAGTACCTTTACCTGCGAAGCTGTCTTGGTCTTAAATGCTTGCCATTTAGGGTGGCTCAGGCTTGAAGTCCCCACATTTGGGAGGCAGAGGCAGGAGGATCAGGAGCTTTGGGTTACATTTGGCTATATATTGAGTTTGAGGCCAGGCTTGGGATGTGAGACCTGTCTCAAAATATAAATAAAAATTAAAATTGGATCAGTAAGATAGCATACTGGATAAAGGAGCTATTCCTTAGCCTTATGACATGAGTTCAATTCCCAGGACCATGAATTAAAGAATATGGTTGGAGAGATGGCTCAGTGGTTAAGAGCACCAGTGCTGTCCCAGAAGTCCTGGGTTCAATTCCCAGCACCCACATGGTACCTCACAAATATCTGTAACTCCAGTTTCAGAGGATCTGATGCCCTCTTCTGGCCTTCAGGGGTATCAAGCCATGCATATTGCGCACAGACACATATACAGGCAAAACATCCATACATTCTATATATTATATATGTGAAGTTTATAATATGTATTATATATTACATATAAAATATGAGAAACAACACACATACTCTGTAACAAGCGGTAGAAACATGGTTCAGTGGTAAAGCCCTGACGCAGCTATGTAGGCCTGTGGTCAATTGCACAGTTTCCTTATACCCCCAAATCTTCTAGAACTCAAGGTAGAGGCAGGAGGATCAGAGTCAGAGGTTATCCTCAGCTACACAGTGAGTGTGAAGCCAGCCTGAGCTATAAGAGACATTGCCTCAAAATGACAAAATTATTAAGAAGCTAATATGAAAATGTGATGTCATGTATGTGGTTCCCATATCACATTCTGCTAGAAGCAGAATTAAAATCAGAGAAAATAACTTATTTCTGACTAAGGTGTAGCCTTCTAAATATGACTTTATTTTAAAAGCTCAGAGGCTGGGTGTGTGGTGTATGCCTCTAGGAGGAAAAGGCAGGTGGAATTTTGGGAGTGTAAGCCCAAACTTGTCCACATATCACCAGCCAGAGCGACACAGTGAGACCCTTCTGGGGGCCTGGAGAGAAGAAGAAGAAAGGAACGAAGGAAGGAAAAAGAAGAATAAGACACTGAGGGGCTAGAGAGATGGCTCAGCAGTTGAGAATGCTTGCTGCATAATTATCAGAGTTTGGATCCCAGAATCCATATAATACACTGAGCTATACACTGAAGCTCCAGCTTGGAGGGGGCAGTGACAGGAGGATCTGTGGGGCTTGTTGGATTCCAACCTAGCCAAGAAAATACAGTGGGCCCCTAGTTGAGGGAAAGACTGCCTGAAAGAAACAGTGTGATAGAGGGCGCCTGGGACCCTCTTTTCGTCTCATGTACACAGGTGGGTGCATCTGTACATATGTATGCATACATACCAATATTTTAAGATCTGAGCACACAGGAGGCAGAAGCAAATAGATTTCTGTGAATTTACTCCTACCCTAATCCAGATAGTGCCAAGTAAGTAGGACTAAGTAGTTGAGACCCATCTCAAAGACAACAAAGCTCTGATTTAAAACCAATTGAGGGATCTAGAGGGATGGCTCAGTGTTAAGAGCACTTGTTGCTCTTGGAAAGAGCCTGGGTTTAATTCCCAGCACCCACAACATGCCTTACAACTGTAACTCAAGTCTTAAAGGACCCAACAAATCTCTGGCCTCCTTAGGCACCAGGCATGCACGTGGAGCAGAAATAAAATTTCAAACATGAGATTTTGAAAACCCTTTGGAAAATAAGAGCAAACTGACTGTTGGATTCAGGTGTACGTTTGGGGCTATGGAGAGAGTAGTCCTCTAGAGTGATGTGGTTGTTCTCTATCAAACTGTGTACATGTCACCAGTGAGAGTGAACCCTTATAAAAACCATGGGTGCTGGGGGGTAATGGTGTGAGTATAGTTCACCTAGATAACCAACGCAGCTTGGCCTGGGATATTGGTAGTAGGGGGCGCCTGTGTGTACAGGGGAGCCAGGGATCATGCAGGACGGTACTTTATCCTGCTCAGGTTTGCTGTGAACTGAGCTGAAAAGGTCCCTAAAAAATTATTGACTTGGATCGGGCATGCACACCACCATGGAAGTTTGGAAGTTAGAGGACAACCAGGTGGTTTGTTCTACCATGTATGGCCCAAGGATGGAGTTTAGGTCACGAGGCTTAATGGCAGCAGACACCTTCACCTCTTGAGCCATCTCTATCAGGAGGTGGCCGCATATGCCTTTAATCTCAGCACTTGGGAGGCAGGGGCAGTCAGATCTCTGAGTTAGAAGCCAGCCTGAGTTCCAGGACAGCCAGGACTACACAGAGAGACCCTGACTCAAAAAAAATAAACAAAAAAGAGTATTAGGCAAAATGGTAGAGTCAGACAAGTGTGGGCCAAAATAGCCTTGTGGGTATGTGTTGGGGATGGTGGTTCTGTTGGATTTGGGACAAGGTCTTGCTGTGTAGGTCTCAGGCTGGCTTCAAGTGTGCTTCTGTCCTTGCTCAGCTTCTCCAGTGTGAGATTAAAGTGTATTACCGTGCCAGCTGTGGTTTTATTATATGTGCATGTTTTCTTTTTTTCTTTGATTAATTAGAAGGTTTCTCTGTTTAGCCCTCGCAATCCTGGAAGATTCACCTTCTCCTACCTCTGCCTCCTGAGTGCTGTGATCAAAGGGTGTGCACAGCTACCACTACCTGATTCTCTCTCATTTTAAGTTTTGAGATGGAGGTCTCAATATGTTCATCAAGCTGGTCTTAAACTCCTAGACTTAAGCAATCCTTCCTTAGCTTCCCAGGTAGCTGAACTACATTTAGATGTTTGCCATACACCAAGCATCTTTTCAAAGAAAGATCACAGCAGAAATTAATAGAGGACAGAAAAATAACAGAGAAAAGCCAACAAAACCTTAAGTTGTCTTTTTCAAAAGAAAAATAAAATGGGTAGACCTTTAGCTCGACTGGTGAAGAATAAAAGGAACAGCTGGTGAGAAGGCTCAGTACGTGAAGGTCCTTGCCACCAAGCCTGATTAGTCCAAGTTCAATTCCTGGGATTTACATGGTAGAAGGAGAAAACATTTCCCCTAAGTTGTCCTCCAACCTCTACACACTCACTGTAGCACCCCTCCATTCACAAAATAACTTGAAAAAAAAAAAAAGGGAGTCAGAGAGATGGCTCAGAGATTAAAAGCTCTTGTGCCTTTGCAGAGGACTTGGCTTGGGTTCCTAGCACCCATACGCTCACAATCTCAGTAACTCCTGTCCCAGGGAGTTACCCCATACCCTCTTCTGACCTTTCCAGGCACTATATGTATATGGTACACACACATACATGCAAGCAAAAATAGTCATACACATACATAAATCTAAAAACAAAACAGAAGAATCAAATTACCAAAAACAGGGAGAAAAAAAGGTTATGGAATACTGGTAATATTTGTTTGCACAGTCAGAATTCATATTGATAATTATTCCAAAGCCAGGGGTTTTCCCAGGTGCCTTTTAGTCTGAATAGGTCAGAAACTCATAGGTGATTCATAGCGGAGGCCACTGGCCATCATCGAGCTCGGCCTAACAGCATAAGCTATTAACACATGGATCCTTGGGCCAAATGTTGGGGTTTGGGATACCTCTGATCCTCTTAAATTTAAGTCCTACCAGAACATAGGGAAAAAAATATGGAAAATTCACACACACGCACACACGCACACATACACATATACACACTAAAGAAAAAAACAAACTGATAACTAATCTAATGGTCTGGAGAAAAGCTATGGACTCTTGGCCAAACCCACTAAGGTCCAAAACTAACAGAAAGGATGAGGAGTCTTGGCTGCCCAGCCTGTCCTGTGAGCACAGTTGACTCAGAAACTGTGGCTTTCTGAGTCTTCAGCCCCACCCTTCCACACTACAGGATGGCTGTCTCATTTCTTTGGCTTCCTCTGCAGGGCTGGTCCCCTCACTTCTCCTACGGGAAATCTGTCTACATATGTTGGCAGGCGTCATGACCATGTCAGTTTCTTGCATTTCAGTTCTCTTAAATATTGCCCAACACCGACTTTTGAGAGAACTGCTGGCCAATCCAACAAATATTTATAGAGAATCTGTTATGTGCAAACTGCTACATTGGGGGTCCAGATACAGATTGGAACCTCTTAAAATCAAGGCAGATTAACGTCTAAGGTTAAGGATAGCAATAAGATACTTTGGATCTCAGCAAGAAGGCTCAGAGAGTAAAGGCACTGCTGCCAAGCCTGACAGCCAGAGTTCAATCCCTGAGACCACGCATTGGAAGGAGAGAACCAACTCCCTGCAAGTCGTCCTCTGACTTCTACACATGTTATAGTGCCTGACTGTGTACAAACACACACAATAAACAGATACATGTAATTTTAAAAAGCTAGTATTAGAAATGAAATGCTTTTTAGGGAAAAAATCCTAGTTCTATAAGCCATATTAGTTCTGAAGATTACAAGCCAATAATGGGTCACAAAATCAAGTTTAGTGGGTTTGTCACTCACTAGTCTTGAAGTCACAGAGATCTGAATGTTCTTGCCTCCTAAGTGCTGGGATGAAAGGACAACATGCCTGACCCTTTGTGTTTTGGTCCTGGAAGCTGAACCCCAAAGCCTCAAGCATACTAGGCAAATATTCTACCAAAGGAGCTATACTTTTAGTCCATATTTTATGAAAAAGTTGCTTGCTATATTATTTATACCGAAGTTATGGCACTGTTATTTTATTTTTTTTCCATATAGAATAACTTGCCTGGAAGTGCACCAGGTATGTGCAGTCAATGCCCACAGAGACCAAAGAGGGGGTCATATCGCCCTGGAATGAGAGTTATAGAGGGTTGTGAGACAGCAAGTAATAATTGCTTTCCTTTAAAAATACGGGTTTCCAAAAAGTCTGAGAGAGTAGATGAGATGTACTCCAGAACAACCAAGCTTACTGAGAGCAAGACAAATGGAAAGGGGATGAGAGGGAAACCCAGGCTCCAAACTGTCACTATGTGTGTCACCACTGTCATGGACAAGCTAGGTCCTTCATCTAATATGATGATGGGAGCAGATGGAGATACTTAGGACCTTTTGATTCTGAACCATGTTAATGATTAATTATATTCCTCTTGTGTATGGCTTATCAGTTTGAGATAGCTTATCAACTCCAGTTGCCCCTGTGGACTTTGACAGTTTCACAAACAAGCGACAATGCCACACAGATAGGTCCTGTGGTGGAGTCTCCCGTCACTCCTCTCTTTCCCACTAGTATTTTTGTTTGCTTGTTTGTTTGTTTGTTTGTTTGTTTTGAGACAGGGTCTCTTGTAACCAAGGTTAACTTCACACTCACTATGGAGCTGAACTAGCTTTGAACCCTTGATCCTCTTACTTCACCACCCAAGTGCTGGCATCACAGACATGGGCCATCATACCCTGCTCCCCACTCTGAGCAGTCTTTGATGACTGCTTACTATGAGCTATAGTACCAACACCCTGCCTGGAATCCTGTGGGATGTAGATTTATGAGCTTCATCCTATTCAGAGCTCTGTGTGTTTGAAGTACCAGATACCTTATCTCTAGGTGGGCTTCTCGTTCTTTTTATATACTCCTTCGAGGAAAAGTCTGATGGGGGACTGACCTTTCATCACAGCCCATTGTACTTTGGAGTCCCAAGTAGATGACATAATGTCTGAAAAACATTGTAAGTTTAACCAAGGCAAATAGTCAGTGTTATTACAGAGTTGAAGGGGCTCTGGAGGAAATTCTGCAAGAGTTATCATTACCCCAAAATCACTCAGAAAGTAAATGAGAGGACTATCACAGACAGCTCTTCCCCTCACCCATTGGAACACTGTAATTACAGAGTGAAGATAATTGAATTTTAGAAAAACACAAAGTGACCAGAAGAATCTCACTGGTCTCAGTGCTTTAGTGTCTTTTAAACTTAGAACCCTGTATATGCTAGGCAAGACATGAATTAATTTAGATAGGGTCTCAGCTAGCTCAGGCATGGTCTCAAACTCATTATGGGCCCGAGAGTGATTTAAACTTCTGATCCTTCTGTTGCCACTTCTCAAGTGCTGAATTACAGTTGTGCATTACCAAACCTGGTTTTACTGGGCTTGAACCTATGGCTTCAAGCAGGCCTAGGCATGCATTGGATCAACATGTTCCCAGTCCTCCTTTTACGTCTTGAGAGTCTCACTAAATTGCCCCGGCTGGCTTTGAACTTGATATCCTCCTGCCTCCACAGTAGTTAAGATTATAGGTCTGCACCACCCTGACTGCCTGTTACCCCCTTCCCCCAACACACACACACACACACACACACACACACACACACACACACACACGCACACTGGGCACTGAGTCTTTCCTGCCACCTGTTCTAGGGACGTTAAGTTCCTTTCCTATCACTTCCTTCTCGAGGGAACTTTCCCCCAACACTTGAGATACCCACAGCCAGCTGGGCACCTTCCCTGTGCCACAACAGAAGCCAGCAACTAACTGGCTCCAGTGACATTTGAAATCCTTCCACTGGTCTCCCAGCCCCAGGTGACAGCTGGCTAGGGCTATAGAGGAAACAATTCTAATAATATCCAGCTGAATAGAACAATAAGAGTTTAGTGGGTGGTTTATTTTTCTCAAGAAATTTGCATATCCGAGGCTCGATTTCCAACACAATAGGCCCTTCCTACAGCGGAAGAGACTCCCTCCTCAGACAGTCTTCAAACAAAACCTAAGGCTTTACCTTAGGAATGTGGTGCGAACATATGAAAAGTGAATATAATCTTTTGTTTGAATCATCACAAGACATTTGGTTCTTTTGGTTGGCTGGGGCATGCAAAAGAAGCGCAGTCTATGGGACGCCCCATCCTGCTTAGAGAACATTTTAGAATTGGGGAAAACAGAGAAGCCTCTTAGGTTCATCAGTAATGTTAAAAAGACATATACCTACCAAGACAGGGGCATTCTCCCTCAAGAATAACAGGATGGAGGCCAGGCTGTGAGTTTCCCACAAAGGGCACAGAAGGACAGATGGGAGATTTCCAGAACTAGCTGAGCCTGCCGGGCCTCGGTGAGTCAAGGATGGAATTCAAGAGGAAGGGTGGATGAGACTGAGGGAGCTAGGATGAGAGTCAGGGATGGACAACGCTGGAGGACCAGGTTGGCCACGTTAAGTGGACGCGGCTTGCTGGCGGCCCCACGTGGCAGGCCCGGAGGAGTGGGGCGGGGCTGCAGGCGGGGGCGGGCCCTGCGGTGACGCGCGGGGTATATGGCCGGGCATGCGCACGCGGTGGGGGCCGGACGCAGAGAGGGGGCGCGTAGCTGTCGGCGGGGACGCATCTACTCAGTAGCTGTGTCGCCGGCTGCCCTGGGGCCTGGATAGTGAGGCTGCGTGAGCCCGCCTGCCGGCTGTAGAGGACTTCAGGTGAGGACCGAGCGGGCGCACACAGGATGGGAAAGTGTGCGCCTCCGGGCTAGGGGACGCCGGGTGGGGGTTGGGGACACCGGCATGCGGAGGACCGAGGACCCGGAGCACTTCTGGAGGCCGAGCACTCCTTGGACCCGGTCCTGGTGGCACCTGATCGCCGTGCCACGGTGGCGAGGAGAAGGAGGTCACAGCGCTGTCCCTTCAGCTGGAGGGCCCGGGATGTGTGAGCTAGAAAAGGGCGCCGGGGAGATCGATAGCTGCGCGGAAAGGCTGAGATGAGCTTTCTAGAGCCCGGAGCCACAGCGCGGAGGAAGCGGAGTTAGATGGGTAGATCAGATATTCTGCAGTGGCGGTCGTCAGAACGGGGCTCTCGGGTCTGGATCTTGAGTTCTAGGAACCTGTGTGTCCTCCCTGCGCCCTCGCCCCCTTCCCGCCAGGCCACCCTCCAGCTGAAGAGCGATGCTCGGATTCTTCTGGTTGGGTTAGGCTGGAGTGGAGAACCGCAAAGGAGGCACTACGCTGAGTTCCCACTTGGATAACGGCAGTGATGACTCTTTTTCAGTTGGTACTGACCAAATTAGGTGGTCTGGTTACCACCTGCTCCCTCTTGAATCTGGACCATCCAGATTCACCTTGTAATCCTGAGGTGGAATCTAACCAGGAAGCTTGCCTCTCTGGGTTGTGGGTTCGGCTTTAAGAATCTTGTGCCTCCCGGGCCTAGATTCCAAACTGATCGGCTGGTCCAATTAGTTACGTGGCCTGTGTGTTCAAGAGGACTCTGAGTTTGGTTTGGTGAGGGAGGGGCAGAGTACTTTCCTGTGGCAGGAGCAACTTTGGCGGAACACCTCTTGCTGAAGTAACCTGGATTTGGAGTTGTAGCATTAGCCCTTTTTACCCAGCTAGCCCCTTGTCATTGGTATAGACAGTACTTTTTTTTGGGGGGGGGGGGGGGGGATTTTATGGGATGATGGAAACTGGCCTCAGAGTGACCACCCTGATCTCTGTTTAGCTCCTGCTCCCAACCTGGTCAGCGACTTGGGAATGGTTCAGGTTAGTATTGAGGCCAGCCTGAATTGTTTATCCGAAATACATACAGTTCTGTCATCCTTACCTATTAAAACAAACCTTAAACACTGAAGGGTTCCAACATGTCTCCTTGGTCAAGCAGCCAGGGGAATGTCCAGAATCACAACTTTAAACAACTAGAGTTAACAGCCATGTTGTCCCTTTTCTATTGGTGACTCAGTTGAGCTCTTTGCCAGTGGTACAAAGTCAGGGGGTGGAGAATAGGTCCTCTTTGTGTGACCAGAGGCACTAAATTGACTCAGGATATGGGTTCTTCCGGAAGGACCATGGCAGAGAACTTCTTGCGGCTATACCTGACTTTGCTGTTCACCAGGACAGTGCAGAGGCCCAGCTAACACGGAATAAAGAACGCAGAAACTGCCTAAGCAACCAACCAACTTCAGGAATAAGAGAGGCTATGTAATTGGTCTTTCATTTAGACAGGAGGAGAATTAAAGGCTTCTGGAGAGCCAGAGCTGTGTTCAAACCCACTGTTGATGCAGAAGGCCCAGGTCCCACATACTGTGTTTGCTTTGCACCCTTCAGTGGCCACTGTGTTTGGTGCAGGCACAAGGCTGCTCTGCTTTTCAGGCAAAGACAGTGGGTCGGGAGGAATTAAGTAGCAACGCAAGAGGTCTCCTCGGTGGTTGGAGTGGGTTCAAGAAGGGAGCTCTGTTTGAGTTGAGACACAGGGGCAGAGTACTCAGGGCTTTGGAGCTAGATTCTCTGTCCAAATTTCAGCCCCATTAAGCTCTAACAGTGAGTCTGTTCTCACAGACTGGTGTGGAACCTTGTGGTCACGTCTGGAATGTGGCTGACGCCGAGGTAGTACCACCATTTTTGTGGGTCAGACTGAGTGGTTTAGAGTCTCAGCAGCTAAAGTAGGTTGGTTTGTAAGGATGGTCGGAAGCCAGACATAAGGTGGATTGTGTCCTTCTTAGCTGGGTATAAAGTGTCCCTTGTCCTCCTGGGGGGACTGCTTTTCTGTGGCCGGCCAGGGAATGGCTCACAGATCCATGGGGAAGATGGGTGTTTTCTGCCTTGAGTCTAGAAGTTCTTTTCTTCAGAGACTGCTCCTCCTCAGGGCTTAATGATATCCAGGAAGGACCCCATCTCCCCTCCACCCTCACCCCTGTTTGTATAGGAAACTTGTCAATCACAGGATGGGTCCTGGTTTCAAAGACTTCCTACCTCCTTCCTCTTTCCTTCCTTGCACCCAAAGCTAATTTCTAGTGGGGTGGAATAGATTCCACGTGCTCTCTCTCCTCCTCCCCACCCCCACAACCACACCAGATGCATTCTCTCTGTTCCATTTAATGCCTGAAGAAAGTAACACCTTCCATTTTGCAGAAACACAGGTGGCCTTGTTATCTAGATGGAGTGTCTTTTAAAATAAAAGATACTGGATCCAGAGAGGTTAATTGGTGCCCCCCAAGTCCTATCACTTACTAGTGGCAGGGACTTGTTGGGGAACACCAAAGAAGTGTTCTGCCTCCATCCCCCACGTGAATTTACTGATAGTCTTGTGTTTTCCTTGGCACACTGGGAAGGGGGGTGGTCAGTAATCACTCAGCATATTGGATGGACCAAAGGAGGAGGTTCCAGCTTTTGCCGCAGGGGTCTGGAGAAGACCCCTGCAGTCTCTGGAGGAAACTGAGGGTTCAAAGTGAGAACAGAAAGAGGAAAGGGTCATGCTTTCTCCCCCCAGCCCCACCTCCCTCTGCGCTACACACACACACACACACACACACACACACACACACCTTAGAGTCTACAGTGGACCTTCTATGACTTTCAGGCTGGCAGCTGTTAGAATGCCAGGAGATAAGAAGTCCAGAGTCTGTGAACTCAGGACTGTTGCCAGCCAGGGCCTCATGCTTGCCCATCAGAAGGACTCTAAACCCCAACTGCCATGGAGTCTCCAGAGAGGGCCCTTGGTTGGGCTCAGACCAGCTGGGGAAGCAGAGCCCCCTACTGGGCCTTCTAATTTATATCAGGACAAAAGGCCTGTCTGCTGTGGAATTCACTTGTTAGGGAAGCCCCCATGGATAACCATGACATCCAGTTTCTCTGGCCCTCTAACTTTCTGTCAGAACAGGCCCAGGGAGCTCAGAGTTTGGAATGGAGTGATGCCCCTAAATTTATCATGGTTGGCAGCTAGAGCATCTCTCAGGGACCCAATATTATTATAAAGACATCCATTAAAAGTTGTGAATTGAGGAGTGAGGGTATTGTTTATTTAATTATTTTATAAAGAAGACACGGGAGGTGGGATTGTTGCTCAGTGGTAGGGCAATTGCCTAGTGTGTACAAGGTCCTGGGTTTCATCCCTTGATACTGCAAGGGTTTTTTGTTGTTTGTTGTTTTGTTTTTAAATTACACGATTCATTTACTTTGTGTGCATGTGAATGTCTGTGGGCCATGTGCCTTGTGCACAAGTGGAGACCAGAGGATGAGCTATTGAGTCATCCCGCCAGTCCAGTAGAAAGGTTAGGACTTTATTTTCTCCTAAAAAACTTGAATGTGTAACTTTCAAAAGGGGGGTGGTGGTTGGGGTGCTATGGAATGGCTCAGTGGATGAGTGTGCTCACTGTCAGGCTCAACATCCGTGCTGGATCCCCAGGACTGACGTGGTGGAAGGAGAGGACCAACTCCCGAAAGTTGTCCTCTGACTTGTGCTTTTGTACAGACAGGACACAAATAAATGTTTTTTTATATATAAACCTACATGTGTTTGCACTCATTTAGTTTTCCCCTTCTCCCATTGTGGTAGGCTAACACTTTGCCTTGAACAACATCATGAGCCTTTTGGGGTTAGTCCTCTGATTAGACTTGGAAATTGTCTATGAAAATCACACCTACATATCACACATGATCCCTTGTTTTCCCTGGTTTGTGGTGCTGGGGACAGAACCCAGGACCTGTGTACACCGGGCAATGTTCTGCCAGTGGACTGTATTTCCAGCCCTTTTTGTTATCTTTGTGAAATGATTTTCATTAGGCTCTATGTATAATCACGTAGTTCAGAGATCAGATCAGTCAATAAATAAATAAATAAAATGCAGCATTCGTCACCCTGTTCCCCCACCTCGGTTAACCCTGGGTAGTCATCACTTTTCCATTACACAAGTGGCACTCCCTAAGCATGTAGAATAAGTTACGTGAAGAGGAATTCCTACTCAAAATGGTAGGATGCAACCATTTGGTTAGCATTCATTAAAAAGTGACATTTACAAACTGTATTTAGAATCCTTAATTTAAATTTGAAATTCTTCATTTTTACTTTTGTAACTTGTGTAGGTTATTCATTTTCATGCATTAAGTTTTTCATTTTCTGTGTATGAATGTTTTCCTGCATGTATGCCTGTGCACCACTTTTGTGCAGTGCTCACAGCGGCCAGAAGAGGGCGTAGGGTTCCCCTGGAACGGGAGTTATGGATGGTTGTGTGCCACTCCGTGTAGGCTTATTGCATATCATTTTTCCATTATGCTTCATTTTATTTACTTATTTTGAAGATCTTTTTATAAAATGTGTGTGTGTGCTTGTACAGGAGCAGGTGGAGGCCGGAAGAGGGCGTCTGATTCCCTGAAGCTGGAGGTATAGGCCTTTTCTTTTCCTTCTGAGACAGGGCCTCATCTCATGCCTGGGACTCACATGTAGCCTGCGCTGGCTTTGAACTTTGAACTTAACTTACCGTGGTCCTCCTAAGTGCTGGGATTACAGGTGAGCCAACACACCCAGCTGTTAGTATAAACTTATAATGTTGACCTTAGATGTACTAAAGAGTTGTAGAAATAGATTTCCTTATCCCAGGGTCCATTTACCAAGACCAGGAAATCAAATATTGGCATAGTATTTTAAGCTGTAATTTTTTTTTAATGTCACAGTGCCCACACAAATATTCTTTTTCTGTGTTCAGGCTCCAATGCTG